AAAAATTGGGTTCATATTTCATTATTGACATATTAACTAATATTACTAAGTTTTGGTGTGTTTCATCAAATTAAGGGGTGCCATGGAACTAGGGATGGCTAGGGGTGGGCAATGGCCGGGTTGGGTGGATTTTGGTCTCAAATTGACTCACCCGCTTACTAGCGGGTTGGAATAATTGTGACCCACAATCCACCCACATATTCCTGCGGGTTGGGTTGGGTGGGGTGGGTGGCGGATGGGTGCGGTTGGGTTGCGGGTGAACCCGCAAAAGCAATTCTCCATCTAGCCATTAAGAAAGTTGACTAACATTTATAATCAGTGGCGGACCTAAGGCAAGGGAGGGTGTGTCATCCGACACACCCTCGCCCGAAAATTTTATGAAGGACCTACATATTTTCGGCACAAAAATTTTTAATTCTGGACTTCCGACAACCCTTCGATAATTATAGCCGACACACCTTCATTAAACTGGAAGAATTTTATTATTTAAATGAATCAATCTTAAATTCTAATTAACAAAATTCATTTTTAATTTATTTAAAATAACTCATAATCATATCAATTGCTATTAAGAAAAACCCCACAGTCCATACCAATACACATGTGTGATGGGCCTTTCATTAATGGAGAAACAAAAAAAATCATCAAAGCCCAAGCGGCAACTGTTGAGACTCACCAGGATACTTGCTTTTGAAGTTGGTATGACTTTATATGTTGAAATGCAAGCTGCGAAAGAGCATTTTCAGCTATGAAGATAATCAATAACGATCTTCAAAATTGGTTGGGTGACAAATTTATGAATGGTTGTTGTGTATATTTGAAAAAGATTTGCTTTGCAGCATAAGTGATGAATGTATTTTAGAGACACTTAAGTAGATGAAAAGTCATTTTGATTCGTTGTAAACATGACATTGTGACTTTATAAATTAATTTCTATTTAATTTTTTATTTAATTTTTAATTATTATCGTATTTTATCGGCGACACACCTCTCCGACAATCCTGGGTCCGCCACTGTTTATAATAAGTTCATAGCAAATTAGCAAGACCATATCAATAATTTATGATTTTGATACTATTAATAAATTATAATTTGCATCCCATTATTTAATGGTTATTGACGATAATTTGCATACCGATATCCAATATCTAATGGATATTGCACAACAAAATGACCAATAATAGTAGTCAAAACTATTATTTATTCTCCACCTTTTGAAGTATATGGTCAGACTGTAGTGCAGTGCGAAAATATGATGAATATTCGATACTATAAGAAACAACATTTTTCATGTAAAAATAGGACGCGGGTCACATGGGTGACCCGCAATCCACCCACCACCCACCCAAATAAGTGCGGGTGAGAGATTTACCAATCCGCAATCCACCCCACATCAATCACCCACTGCGTGCGGGTCGAGTTATTTGCGGGTGGATCGATATCAATTCGCAAATTAACCACCCACGTGCCCACCCCTAGGGATGGCAATGGGTTGGGTTGGGTCGGGTTTTGCCAAACCCAAACCCAAACCCATGGGTTTATCCGTGAAAAATAAACCCGGGGTAAAACCCACTGGGTTTGAAAAACTCAAACCCAACCCGTTGGGTATCCGCGGGTTCATGGGTACCCATGCGTTTTCGTCGTAAAATATTTACAATAACAAGTTCCTATCAAAATTAAAGTCAAATATCAATCTCTCAATATAATTTATCCATATATAAAACACCATTCTAGAAAATTCAAGCAAATCACAAATTAACTATACAAATTATTCAACACCAATCTAGAATACTCAAGAAAATTGAAGCAAATCACAAATTATCCATAAATAACATGATTATAAATTGAAAGCTTATTCCTTTCAATTAAGTTTTTTCACTCTCCACTCAATAATATCAACTTCATTCTACACAATTAGAAAGAAAAAATTAGACATGTCTCCACAAACATAAATAAGATTAGTTGTTTAGAATATTAAATATACCGAGAAAATTAATTATATGGGTGTGGGCGGGTACCCATGGGGCGGGTTTACCTAACACCAAACCCAACCCAACCCGGTGAATAGTGAGCGGGTTTAAACCCAAACCCGGATGCAAACAGTCAACCATGCAAGAAAGTAACAAAAACACAATTGTCCGTGAATTAGCTAAAACACGCTATGTTAGTGAACCAAGTTAAAGTTGTGTAACTATTTCTTTCCTTGCATTGTTGATTGCTCGCATATTTTTTTATAAGGGTGATATAGATTTATTTTTTTTATTATGTACTACTTAAGAGAGGTTCAAAACTAATGATACTACTACTAAGTACTAACCCAAGCATTGGTTCGTGATAACCCACATATGTTATAACAAGAAAAATAGAGTTCACAAAATGATGGTCCACGCTCCACAATCACGGTTCTGTACTCTGGTACCACTTGTTGATAACAGACACTCCACATTAGTACGATATTACTATTACCACTAGATTTATCCCTTGTTTGTGATTGTCCGCATATGTTATAACACAAAAAATCGAGTTCACAAAATGAGGCTCCACATTAGTCGCGGTTCTGGACTCTGGTCCACTTGTTGATATCCGCACAAATTTGATCATGCACACCGTCCTAAAAAGCCTCAAACTAATAGAGCTTGGTTGACACTTCAAACTTATATACAAAGATCATTTTCCTTATATTTTTGTATGTGGTATTTGCATTGCCCTCCCCATGAGTGATTATCCGCCAACCACCCTTTAAAACAGTTTTAGGCACAAAGAATAAACAAATGCATATTTCAAATCCGAGGTAACAAAATGAGGGCCCATCAAACTGAATTCACCTCTCAAATCAGATTCTGATACTACTTTATAACGGATGCACGCAATCGACAATGCAATGAAATAAACATATATAAACATAGTTGTCTGTGGTTTAACTAGCAATCTAGCATACATCACATTAGTAAACCACATTAAATTTGTGTTCCTATTCATTATCCTTGCATTATCGATTGCCTGCTTTTTGATGAACGTGAACATTGTTAGTAAATTGTATAAGATCAATAAATGAACCTCTCCCAACAGCCTACTTGAACATTTATATTAGAGCTTATTCTCTTACACCTCTGGTGTACTTTTCCTGCAATAAAATTTCACCTTCATAAAAAAAAATATTGATATTAGAGCTTTCGAGGATCGAGATATCTTGTGTTTGAATCCCAATGACCCCGATTTGTTAAGCACATGTATTTGAACCTCTGCAAATTAACTCCAACCTCTTATAAATTGTCTTTCATTTGAGGGGCATGTTGATAAATAATATAAAATCCATAAATGAAGCTCCCCAACAACTCGAATTATTGGAAATCCGACAAATAAAGTCTTAACTCAAATACAAACGGTTGTTTATTTTGTGAGCAAGCTAGATTGCCTAAGTCATGCATCCACATGCAAGGGAAAACAACTTTGCATATAAATTGTAAAACATGGAGGCGTGAATGAATCAGCCATCCAGTCAGTCAGCAGTCGACTTTCTATAGCTAGCTTGCTACCATTTTAGGGAATCTACTAATGAACTTTCTCCAACCCAAAATATAGAGTTGGCTAGCTACGGACCAATGACGACTACCCATTTAAAGGAGAGCATCAACTCAATAATTAGTGTATGGAGTTGGCCAAACGTTATAGCAAATCATTTTCAACAAGATATTCCTTCCATTGGCGGCCAATAACTTTTGGAATGGAAATATATATTCGCATATATAGAAAATGAGCTTAAAAACCTAACTCAGAATTTGACTTCTCTTCAAAAGGAGTGAACTTTTTTTTACAGAATTGGTTAGAACATAGAACCTTAACAAGTTCTTAACTACCATGATAGGTACTTTATGTGTTAGTATTATTTATAATATGGTATAATTGATCACATGTTAATTTAGATTATATGAATTTGATGCAATGCGAAATAGAAGGACAAAGTCTCTTGTCCCACATTGAGACATTCTATCATTTATGAAGAAAAATTATGGGGTAGCTAGTTTCCATTTGAAAGATGATAATTCTGGTAAAGTTCGAATTTTGAAAACTCTGGATTTGTTGTAATTATGGATTTGAAAAAAGTCTATCTTTATTGTTTGCTTGTTGAATTTTGTTATGGATTTTACTTGATTATATTTGTTGGTATGATGGACTTTAGCCCTCACCAAAATCCCACCACCAATCATGGGATTCGCAAGTTTACGGGGTCGACATATTTGGACTCTCAGAGTCCACGAGCCCTACAGATTTTACTCTCTTAAAATTGGCTAGCAAACAATGAACATTGGGACAAGTCCATAATGGATTGGATTTAGAACCCAAATCCATCATCAAATACATGAAGCAAACGACTCATATATGTTTCATGCAACACTAGTATTTATTCACACGGAATCACTTATAGTCACCCAAATTGTTTCTTTTATTTACACACTCTTCACTGATACAATATATATATATAATAAGTGAAAATTGATGAGAGTGCGTGAAAAAGTAGCTAGATTATGTACGTGAATATAATTATGCTAATGCAAGGATACGTTTGTGCTGAAAAATAGTAGAGGCGTAGAGGAGAATGTAACATTCTCATAGTTAATGAAGGGATCACTGTGACTTACTAGATTATACTGATTTTTTTATTAATATTTTACTGAAATTTACAGGAATGAAATAGACATATTTCTGATGGAACTTAGTGGTTGGTATTAAGATATTCTAATGAAAATTACTTGATTATTTGCGGAAACTTCACTAATGAAAGGCGTGTTGGGAGTTTACTGAACTCCAATAAAATGTTCTATGAATATTGGCTACTGGACTTCTATCTTACTGCTTGTTAGAGTTTACTAAAATTCATTAGAGTCTAATTCATTTTACTGCATCAGTTAATGAAAATTTCCCCCTCCCTGATTTCAATGTTAATTACATATCTCTCTCGGATTTATTTAATATGAACCTTTTTCTTTCTTGAGATTTCCATTACAAAAACCCAATCGATCTTCATGTATCTCCAAACATGGCAAATGTAATTTGCAAAAGAGTTAACCACACTTCCAAACAAGAATATACATTCAATTCAATCAAAGAAGAAAAAAGCAAAAGCAGCCGTCAATTTTCTAGCCACTAGCTTAGCTTGCTGTACAAAGGAAGAGAACGAAAAAAGAAAAAAAAAAAAAGGAACCCAACCGTAGGTAGATTTCCGAGTAGAATAGAATTCCTTTGCTCAGTGGATTTTGCAATTCCGTGTCTTTCCTTTCCGGTGAGATTCCTTAGTCGAGATACATAAAATTTAACACACAGCAGCTTTACACAAATTAATAAAACAAATCTGACACTTCTAGCAAGCCGTGGACTCGCCGTAAATGTTGTCAAGCACCGCAATCACTCCGAACACGAAAGCCTGATCCACTCCAGGCTTCACCACCACGTAGTACACATCCATACTCCTCATCCCTTTCTCCACCCCAATCTGATAAAAAAAAAACGAAATCACCAAAATTAAATTAATCGATCGTTCTTCAATTCTTTTTTTTTTTTTTTACCAATAGATCACTTGTATTACCAAGGTAAACAACTAGCAAAGTTTACAACTCACGAACAAATCAACGAAAAAAATCAAAAGTATCTACAACTGCAGACAACAAAGAAAGGGTCGATTGAAACAAAACAGAAGTTGATAAATTAATAATTTAATATTACCTGGGCCACGATCCGGCCCAAATGATCCACAACGGTGCAGCACTTATCCGGAAACCGGCCCTGAACCTCGAAATCCCAATCCCCCGCGCCCCCGGATCTCCTGGGCTCCGTGGAGATCCGGATCGCGCTGTTCCGGGCCCAGCACGAGTTGGGCTCCTTGAGCTTGAACACCACCTTCTTGACCCCTTCGTAATCGAAGCTGTAGCCTTTCCACTTCCGGTTGATGCTCAGCGCCTGCACCACGCCTTCCTTCCGGCGGACGAGGAGCAAGGCGGCTCCGTCGCCGTCGCGGACCATGAGCTCCCCTTGCGAGCCGAGGACGCCGCAGCCTTCGACCCGGAAAACAACCTTCTGGGTCGGATCCTCCGTCACCACGAACCCGCCGCCGGTGACCGTCTGGGGCCTCTGCCTCACCGTCAGGACCACCTGCTCCGGGGAGCAGTACTGCTTGCTTACGATCGCCACCGGGGCCGCATTCAATCTTGAACCGGCCATGGAATTGTGTGTGGGGAGGAAGCGAAGGATCAAGGAAACTGTTCCTTTGTGGTTTATGTTTTGTGGTAAGGTTTAATTTGATTGGTGTTTTCTTGCATGGGGGAATAGACGTCTCTGACTACTTATAGAAAGGGGGGCGAAAAAGACTTGGTTTTTAAGCAAGCGAATTTGATGGGAAAGGTTGCTTTTTTTGACGATGAAGATGCCAGCGCAGAATGGTAATCGAACCGCCGAATTTGTTGACGTGTCACGTTTGGCTCACGCGCCGCCGAACCTTGGTGGCGGTTACGGGCAAACCTAAACTGCCACGTTGAGGGGGGAGGAGGAGGAATTCATGGCTGAGGTTTTAGTTGAAGGCTTCACGCTATAGCCAATTGAGTGTGTGGGTTCTGGGCAGGCCATTGAACTATAGCATTTGTCTAAAAATTTTAAATACTACTTGTGATTGTGAGTAACACTTCTTAATTACGGGGGAGAAGGTAGAGATGTACATCGAAGTTAAATTCTATGAAGCTTCAACGGTTAATATATATCTTATTATTTTGGGAAAGAACTTTTCACGAACATACTATTTTGGATCGTAGTTTTCCGGAACTTCTATTTTGGCCTTAATGACGTCTAACTTGACGGTCAACCAACGCATCCGTGAATTCCAAGGAAAAAATCCAAAACTATCACTGTTTTAAAAAAAATTTACAAAAATACCACCCTCACCAAATAATTTCCAAAAATACCATCGTTTATTTAAAACCGCCCCCCCTGATGAGCGGTTTTCAATGAAACCGCGCCTCTAGGCGGCGTTTTCCTTTCTAACCGCTCCTTGGAGGCGCGTTTTTATTTTCCGGAGTAAACCGCCTATGGGACGCGCGGTTATAGGCTAAACCCTACCACAAAACGCTGGTAGAGGGAGCGTTTAATTGTCGGCATTACAAACCGCCTGGGAAAGGGGCGGTTTAATTGTCGGCATTACAAACCGCCTGGAAAAGGGGCGGTTTACATTGTCAGGACACAAACCGCTCCCTTGAGGCGCGGTTTGTGCCTGGTCACCCGACACCCGACATGTCCGACATGTCGGCATGCAGGGGTAGGGCTGCATGGCAGACATAAAACCGCTCCCCCCCCCCCCCCAAGCGGTTTTGGTGCAAAATTTGCCTATAAAAGGCTGTTTCGGAGAACACAATTCTTCACACTTCCTTCCTCAAATTTCAGCTTTGCACCTTTAAATTATTTAGTTTTTGCGATTAACGTTAATTCGTAAGTTTGTTTCGTAATTACTTTTCATTGTCTTTGTGATTTTATGTTAGTAACTTAATTACTTTTGATTGTCCTTTGTGATGTTATGTTAGTAACTTAATTACTTTTCATTGTCATTTGTGATTTTATGTTAGTAATTTGAATTACTTTTCATTGTCCTTTGTGATGTTATGTTAGTAACTTGTGTTACTTTTCATTGTCATTTGTGATTTTATGTTAGTAATTTGAATTACTTTTCATTTTTCTTTGTGTTGTTATGTTAGTAACTTGTGTTACTTTTCATTGCAGATGGCATTCCAAAGGTTCACGCTTGGGTTGCGGTGGAATGGTTACACGGAAGAGACCGAAAAGGGTGTAAGTTACGTCGGTGGAAATTTTCATAAAATGAAGGTCCGTACGAGACCGATGCTTGAAGAGCTCCACCGAATGTGCACTCAGATTACCTGCATGGATGGCAGTAGAAGAGTTGATCGAATGGTGTATCGATATCCAAACAGACATGACGGGTCGCTGTGGCATGAGGAATTCCTCCTTACCACTCAGGAGGACTTTGATGCCATGGTCCAATTTTTGACCACCAATACAATTAAGCAAGCGGAGATGTTCGTTTACACCGAGGCCGTCGAAGGCAGTGTAGGTCATTCTGGAGATGGCCAAACATCTGGTATCCACGGTGGGAGTGTATTATACGAAGATACTCCCCACCAGGATTTCCAAACCTCGAGTTGGAGTCAGGAGTATCATCATGGAACTGGAGGAAGTCATCAATCCTTCCATTCATATGAAGAAGAAGCTCAACAGGCGGATTACAACCAACAAGCAGGCTACCAGTACCCACCCGAGTACAACTTCTATCAAAGTGGTGTTAGTTACCACAAGTCCACAACTACCATTACGGAGCTAGTGGAGGTCAAGGTGTCTTTCATGCTGATAATCAGATGGAAGAAGAGGTCAATCCAAGTCCAGTTAGTGACCATGAGGTTGAAGAAGAGGAAGGCGAAGTTAGTGCAGACAGCTCCGATCCGCTGGAAGGTGCTGATGATTCCGGTCCAGATTCAGACGCAGATGGTGATGAGGTACCTCACGACCGTGTACCTATTCCATACTACAATCACATTCAAAGTGAAGATTGGTATGTTGATGCCGACATGGACCCATCAGATGTGTCATTATGGGGTCCACTAACTGGCTTTACGAAGGGCCAACAATTTGCAACGAAGAATGAGGTTCGACACGCTATTTCCACTGAAGCAATGACTCGGAGTTTTGAATGGCAGACAACCCATTCCGACACAAAGAGGCTGATGGTTCGATGCAGAAACCACAATGAGGGATGCACAGCTAGGGTCCGGGCCATCAAGAGCAAGAGAGTCGGTCATTGGGTCATATCCCGTGCGAACACACACACATGTGTGTCATCACTGCAACCCATCTTCTCTTTATCTCCTCCACCGACCTTTGCTCTCCCCTATACATCCTAGCGCATAGCTCTTTCCAAATAACACTGACACACCAGCACCAGATCGCACTCCAAATCAGCCCCTTGCTGCCTTCTCTATTGCTCCTTCGACACAACCAACTCATGAGGCTGTCCCAATCATTCGGCCACCTGTGCATATCAAAAACTGCTGCAAAGAAATCCAACGCATAAGTACAAGTGCAGAACAAATGGACACGAGTTTCTTCCTCCGCCTGACATAAAACACACAAAGAGTCAGAGAGTTTCCCCCATTTCTTAAGCTTGTCTCTCGTAGTAATCCTGTTTAGTATAATTAACCAAGCCACCACCCTGTTTCTTGGAATCACATGTTTATTCCAGATCAGCTTCCACCACTCCACACGAGCTCTTTTTGGTCTGATAGAGGCCCAGACCTTCTGCACCACAAATCTTGGCATCGGGCTTCCTTCCCAGAGTACTCTACCTTCTATATCAGTATCTAATCTGTACTGGAACCAGCTTCTAGAATTAAGAAGCTTCCTCCAAATCCATGAACCAGACTGAGAATGAGGCATATTCCATATGGATCTCCCCTTCAGCCTGTATTGCTGCACCCAAGCAACCCAGAAACTACCACTCTTCATCAGGATAAGCCACAACAATCTAGCCATACATGCCATGTTCCAACTTCCCTGATCCTTCAACCCCATACCCCATTCACGTTTAGGAAGTGCAACTAAGTCCCAAACCACTTTTGCTCTACCTGTGCCTTCCCCATGCCATAAAAAGTCTGAACAAATCTTGTGAATGAGTTCCAAAACCTTCTTAGGCAGAATGAAAATATTCATCCAGTATTGCACTAAGGAGTACAACACAGATGATATCAGCTGGAGTCTTCCTGCATAAGTAAGCTTGTCGGCTTTCCATGAACGTATTCGACTAGTCAACTTGTCCACCAACACTTCACACTCCCTAGTTGACAGCCTGACAGAAATTAAAGGGAGCCCTAAATATCTCACAGGCAGATGTCCTTCTGCAAACCCTGACAACTCAATAGCATTTTTCTTGTATAAATGTGCCTGCCCTCCAAAGAAAACCTCGCACTTCTGAGGATTACACCTCAATCCCGATAGCAGGTAGAAATCATTTAATAAACTCCTAATCTGTACCAGTGCAGCTGCTGATCCCTCAGTGAAAATCAATAGGTCATCCGCGAAGCAAAGGTGTGTCGGACCTATTGATCGACACTGAGGATGATAAGGAATTCGTTTAGAGCTGGCAGCAAAATCCAAAATGCCCGAAAGCGGTTCAATAGCTATAGTGAATAGGTAGGGGCACTACAAGAAAATGCTCCTTTTGCGACGGATTCTATTGCGACGACATAAAATTCGTCGCAGAAAGTGAACATTTTGCAACGAATTTTGTATTTTCGTCGCGGATTTTGTTAATATTCTGTGATAGGTGGGGTATATGATTTTGCGACGGTCTTTTCTTTTTCACGACGAATTGTTTCGTCGCAAAAGGTTTTGGGGACTTTCTACGACGACTGTCGTCGTCGCGGAATAGTTGGATATTTTCTGCGACGCATATTTTCGTCGCAGAATGTTTTAGACTTTTGTGACGAAGCGATATTTGTCGCAGAATATGTGAAAACTTCTGCGACGAAATGCATTTCGTCGCAGAATATGTGAAAACTTCTGCGACGAAATGCATTTCGTCGCAGAATATGTGAAAACTTCTGCGACGAAAAGCTTTTCTGCGACGATTGTCTTTCGTCGCAGATGTTCGAGACTTTTTGCGACGATCGTCTTTCGTCGCAGAATGTTTGAGCCATTTTGAGAATTAAGAATATTTAGTGGATGAGTACATATGCACATAACTAAGTAAAAAAACCTTATCGCAATCAATTGAATTGTGATTTTCGTATTAAGAAAGTTTAATTTATAAAAGGCAACAAAAACATATGTTTATTTAATAGATTGATAAATCTTGACATTTTATTTAAATATCTTTATTGAATAATATTTGGTTTGTAAATTAATTGAAGATAACCTTTGAGCTTTGGTCCCATAAACTCTACATGATTAAGTTTTTAAAAGATTTAGACGTACAAGGATAATTGGAATTAGGTTTAACAGAATGTTTTGATTTTGAAATCTTAGGCTTTGACTAAGGGTAAAATAACAACGAAAAGTTACATTTAACAAATGGTTTAGTAGTAGTCTATTGGTTGAAACATTTGTCTGTGTGTTGATGTTAGCTCAAGGTTAGCTGTTCGAATCCCCGAGTATGATTTTTTGGTTCTGCGACATGGTGAAAGGGTAGTTTGGTCAATTGAGTATCCTTTAGTATATAAAGGATGAGAGGGGAGTGAGTAGAAAACCCTAGCCGCCCAACTCATCTTTTCCTCCTCTGGTCTTCTCTCCCATGTAGACAACAACTCATCTTTTCCTCCTCTCTTTCGATTCTTTAATTTTCACCTTCTTCCTTTCTCGTCTTTTCTCCCTTGTAGACAACAAAACCCTTAAAACCGTCGGCGGAAAATATGATCCTCTCGATGAGAAAAGAAATCTGGAAGAAACGGGTATCGCCGGTGGCCTCGGAGTTCGATTACGCTGAAGGAAGATCGACGGGGGGCCAGGGTTTTGGGCTTTGGCCGCGGTAAATCGGCTCCTCTTGATCAGAAAAGTGAAGATCCGGGTAAGATTCGGCCTGCATGTGTTTTTCTTTTCGTTTTCTGGTTCAAGAATGGATAATGACATTTTTCCTTCTGGGTTTTGGTTTCGAACGAGGCAAGAAGAAAAGAGATCGGTAGGTGGCCTGGATTTTGGCTCCGGGCGCAACGATTTGGGTCCAGTCGGGGAAGGATGACCAGATCTGCTCTTCGAACAGGAAAAGCGAATGAAAGAAACCAGATCTGCTCTTCCGGCGACCAGATCTGCTCTTCCGAACGGGATATGCTCTGTTTTTTAAAATTGTTTAAGAAATCCGACTTAGCAAATCTGGATTTTGGATGAGTTGAAAGCACTTAATTTGGGGGAATCTTGATTTTTAGGTTTGATGAGGTGCTGATTTGAGGTTTGACAAAAGAATGAACCAGAAAACGAACCCGGGGAATGATTGTGACCTATACTGAAATAGCCCGAAAAGAATTGTGACCTATATTGAAATTACCCAGAAGATAAATTGTAAATAACTCGAATTCAATTTTTCGTTTCTAAATCATGTAACTTTCTGCGACGAACTACTTCGTCGCCAAATAACCTTCCTTACTGCAACGGAGGTATTTTCGTCGCTGAATACCCATTCTGCGACGACATGGTCGTCGCTAAATCGTCAAACTTCTGCGACGAATTTAGTTTTTCTGCGACGAACCAGTTTTTATTCGTCGCAGAACTTTCTGCGACGCTGTATAGGCGACGGAAGATTTTTCTCTTCTGCGACGGTGAAATCCGTTGCATAAAGTATTTGCGACGGATTTTAGGGTTTCTGCGACGCTTTTGTTCCGTCGCAGAAAGTGTATTTTCTTGTAGTGGGGGAGAGAGGGTCCCCTGCCTAACACCTTTCTTAGCTTGAAAGAAACCAAACAAAGAACCATACAAACTAATACTAAAGAATGCAGATCCAAGACAGCCCTTTATCCACTCAATAAACACAGCTGGAAAACCCATATGCAGCATCACTATTTCATGTATAATTGTTGAAAATTCTAGCACGGGTGAAAAAGAAAAACTCTAGACAGAAGCTAAAGGAATACAAACTGGAACACACTTAAAATTTTACGCCTTCAAATCCCATAGTGAAAAATGACGAATTTCTAATAAATAATAATCATATATATATTTTTAATTGGACTTGACATTGAGCTGAAAAAGTTAGTGGACTAGACAGTTGGTGAGTCGTGTATGGACCCGTTCGTACTTGTGATTAGAATACATAAAAATAGTACACTAATTAGGGTTAGACGAAGAAGGCAAAAGAAATAAAGAATGGGTTATGGAAGGAAGGTCAAAAATGAAACAAAGAAAAAGTAGATGATGGAAAGGTTTGGACAAATTCTTTTAGTTGGTCGTCAATACAACAGTCAACCCTTTTTACCGTAGCAATTTATTGACACTTGCTTATTTAGATGTCGCATATCTCGTTACATGTACTAAATGAGTTTATAAATTCGCTCTTACAATATTTTATAGTCGTCTCTCTTTTATCATTTATCTAATATTTTACATTAATATTATACTTTTATGTTATGGTGGATTGGATTAGGTGGATTGGTTCAAAAGTATTGGTGGATTGGATGCATGGATTCAAGTGAAATCTAAATGGACCAATATGTAAATATTAAAAATTCCAGGTATGAAAATCTCATAAAATGTAGATACCAAAACATAATTATTCAATGATTTTATATTAAAATTAAATTTGGGGTAACAAAATGTAAAATGTACATTATAGTGACTAAGTTGTGATTTAATTAAATTTGGGGTATCAAAATATAATTTTTATGCAACGGTGACCAAACATCAGCTTAAAATTAAATTTCGGGTATCAAAATGTAAAATATAGATTATAATGACTAAGTTGTGATTTAATTAAATTAGGAGTATCAGAATGTAAAAATTTATGCAATAGTAACACTACTCCAGATTTATATATAATTATAATAATAATAATAATAATAATAATAATAGTTAAGTTTCAAACTCAAATACTAGATGAGTTAGGCCTTGCAAAAGTTATACAAAACATATGTTTCTTGCCCAACAAATCTCCGAATCTCCACAAAATCTAACGGCCCGTTCTTTCCCCGCTTAGTAGGAATAGGTATATTTTCCCTCTCCGAATCCCAATAGGAAACTTCTCCACGCTTAGTTAATTAATTCGGCCCCAAGCAACTCCCTTCCTTCCCTATATAAAAACCCTCACCCACGTCCACGTACATCTATTTCTTGCCATCCTACATCTCAGCCGCGCATCAATGGCCGTCCCTTCAGAACACGGCGGCGACGATCATCATGACGATCATAAACTCTCCTCCTCCTCCTCCTCCGCCGCCGTCGATCTCCCTCTCGACGTCTCCTTCGAGATCATGTCCCGCTGCTCCCTCCAAACCGTCGCCAAGTTCCGAACCCTCTCCCGCCGACTCAACTCGCTCACCTACGAGTCCACCTTCAACCAACTCCTCCACCGCCGAACCCCAACCCTCTCCGGCTTCTTCCTCCACCGCCGCTCCCTTTCCACCTTCGCCTCCGCCGCCACAAACAACAACAACAACCAAAAGATCTCCCTCGACTTCCTCCCTTCCCCAGCCCGCATCGTGGCGTCCACGTCACAAGGATACATTACCTGCGTCACCACCGAACCACACCGCCTCCACCGATACTACGTCGTTAAACCCGCGACGAAACAGTTTTCCCCACTACCCAACCCGAAGACCAAGCACTTCACCCGACACCCCGTCGGGATGATCGTCCTTCGGTCCCACCCTCTCCGCTTCAAGCTCGTCCGGCTCTCCAACTCCACACACTCGCACCGCAACAACAACGAGTTGCGGTGCGAGGTGTTCGATTCCGAACGTTGGAGTTGGAAGAAGCAGCGGCAGCTGGACATTGACCACAATGTCCAGCTGCCGCTGCTGGGGGACGAGGAGGAATATTTAGAGCCGGAGCCGCCAGTGGCGGCTGGCGGCTCGCTGCACTGGCTGACGTCACGCAACCGTGTCTCCGCGTTCTGCGGAGACACGGACGAAGCGTGGGAGTGTTTCCCGCTGCCGCGGGAAATACGAGAGAAGGGCAGGTACGAGGGGGCCATGCAGCTGGCGGAGTACGAGGGGAAGCTCGGGGCGATGTTTACGGGGTGGGAGAGCGGCGTGATGGAGTTGTGGGTGTTGGAGCGTTCCTGTGGTGGTGGTGAGAAGCGTTGGGAGGAGAGGTTGAGGTTGGATTTGAAGGAGCGGGTTGCGGTGCGGGTGCTAGGGTTCTGTGACGCGGACACGGTGGTGCTGGAGCGGCGGGACGGAGGTGTGGCGGTGTGGGAGTTTAGGGTTGGGGGGAGGGTGACGGTGGTGGTGGAAGGGTTGAGGTGTACTTCGTCGGGGTTGGATGGGTTCTTCGTGGTGCGGTCGGATTTGGAGAGGACGGAGTTTGGACGGCCGGATGGGAAGAGAGATGTTGGTTTTGAGAGGAAGAGGAGGAGGAGGAAGGTGGATTCGTGTTTGGTTTATCGAGATGATGCTTGTTTGAGTTGAGGGTTTTGATTAGTTGAATTCTTGTAATGTACAAATTTGTTGGATCAGATATATATGTAGTATGGATTTGGGGGGAATTTTAATCTAAGCTATTGTCCACCTTGTGATTCGAGGGATATAAGCTTTATCATTTTTGACAAAATTGTAAGACTTTGTTACTGCTTTCTTTCTAGCACAGTTAATCTAAGCTATTGTCCACCTTGTGATTCCAATCTGTGTGTCTTATCCGATCTGTTTGACCTAATTTGGATGGGTATCATAAGTAGGACAAACATGCGAGTACTCTCTTTGATCCAACCTGCCCACCACACTCTCTCGTCCTATTTTTACCTAGTCGTCCCATTCTCAGCCTATTTTTGCCTAACTTACATGTATTTTACTCAAAGTACTTGGAACTTTACTTGTATTACCTCATATTTTTTTAAGCAATAACGAAGTTGTAAATAGGCGAGAAAACCTCAATTTCTTAATTTGACTACATTTGTCATTTTATAGTTTGTTTCTTAGTTGTTTGATAATAGTAAAAAGCTAATTCCACTAGAAAGTCTAAACTATCCAAAAAGTGTCGTTTGTGTCCTAAACTATTCAATATGATAGAAATGCTCTAAACTATAAAGTTTTAGATCATTTGTAGCTCAACTATTTCGTCGACTGTTAAGTTTAACAATTGACTTATTGGTGGTAAAATGTGTGTTTGAATATAATGACGTGGCCCTACATGTATGTCACATAAGTTGTCACGTCATCGACACATCATATTTTTATTTGGAATTAAATTAAAAGAATAACTACAAAAAGAAAAAGCAAATTAAAAGAAAAGAAAACTGGGATCTTGCTCTTTCCCCAAACTCGATCGAGAACCCCTCCCATCGTTAATCGATCTCATCCATTGCCAGAGGCTCTTGCTTGCCGGAGGGCCTAACAAAACTCACGCCACCCCTCTACTTCCTTGCCCCTGTCTCAGAACCGCTGAAACCCACCGCCATCCGAGCCCCACCGGCCTCCCAGAAACCCACCCCCGAATTAATACAAAATCCTAACTGCCAACGCAGTTAACATTAACGGAAAAATACTTTGTGCCAGATTTGTCATATTGAATAGTTTAGAACACAAATGACAATTTTTGGATAGTTTGAGCTTCCCAGTGGAATTAACCAAAATAAAAATAAATGTTTCTAATAGTTTCCTTTTAAATTCAATACTAGTATGGGTAGAAGGAGTGGACGGACCAAATTTTGGGATAGTTTAGGCTCTCCCATTCTGGCGGAAGACTTTCTACCCATCATCATATTGAATAGTTTAGAACACAAATGACAATTTTTGGATAGTTTGGGCTTCCTAGTGGAATTAGCCAAAATAAAAATAAATGTTTCTAATAGTTTCCTTTTAAATTCAATACTAACATGGGTAGAAGGAGTGGACGGACCAAATTTTGGGATAGTTTAGGCTCTCCCATTCTGGACCAGGCGGAAAGACTTTCTACCCATCATCTCGTCTGAAGGTCGAACGGAATTACTATAAAAACACAAAAACAATGTGACCGTTTCAGATCTGCCTCGCTGAGTGGTTTTGTATCACATTATTCTAGCCCTGATGCCTATCCTAAAAGGAATAAGGCAGGCTGAAGATAGTTGACTTGCTTTCTTTTACCCAACGATTCTTAATCAGGCAAGCTCTTTCCTATTGTTATTGATGGAGATTCAAGTGTGTATAAAACACCTCTTCAAGAGAAGACCCTAAGTCGTTGATTGATTCTCTCGGAAATTATTTACGCGCTTTCAGACCTTCACTATAGAATAAATCTGGGCGAGACCTTTGGCATGGAAGGGTTTGATTCTTTTGTTCCGGGAGGAATGACTGTCAGGAGCGATGGCAGTTCGAACGAATGTGAGAGGATCTAACTAGTGCTTTATATAGCATTCATGTAGTCTCTGTCCTCTGTCAATTTATCATTGGCCTCGCTCCACTAGCTATTAAGAAATTTCAATAGCAACTAATATGTGTGTATGATGCGCCTACATTGGATGATGAGATCCTACTTTTGATTATCATAATAATGACCTCCTCACTAGGAAAGATAGACAGACCAAATGCTCATATTTCTCGCCTCTGACTTGGAGAGCACCTATACAAGACACAACATCGGGAGACTTCGTCCTGAGCACTCAGGGGTGCCTCAGGGAACACTCAAGGGGTGCCGCTGGGGATCGAACTCAGAATCTCCCACATCCCCAGCCAATCAAACCAACGATTTCACCTCTAGACTATGTTACCTTTAACTATACTAATGACTCATTGTCTCGTGTCCCTAGTCTCAACAAATATTTTAAGGCAATAAAAGAAGGCAAAATACACTTGCATAGCCAAAATTTTCACCTTTGTGCCACTTATAGCCACTTTTGGCGAAATACCACTAATAACCACTTTGAAAGATGTTGTGTGCCTAATATAGCCATTTCCGTTAGAAACTATGACGGTGTTAATAACTCCGTCAACTTATTTGATGATCGGCTGACGAGGCGCCAAATCATCAGCCACGTCAGCGAAAACTACGCAAATAGTGACACGTCATATATTTTAATTATTTAATATTTAATTACTACATTAAATTATTAAAAAAACCAAAAAAAAGGAAAGAAAAAGAGATGAAAATCTCATAATTCCCCGATCCCTTTGAATTTTCTGAACGCCAAAACCCAGATTCAAGAAGACGTTGGCTCTTCGTCGGCGAATTTGAAGAGCAATCGTCCAGAACTCTCCACCTCCGCTGCTACTCTCCAAGACCCCTCTTCTTCTCCCCCAACAACTCCCCCTCCCCACTCCTCCGGATCTTGAACCTCTTGCCTGCTTCTCCGATTCCGATGCCATCACCTCTCCGGGTAAACCTATCGTCGGCCGCCATCGAATTTGGCGCCGCGCCGGTTCATCTCCTCATGTCCAACATCTTCACCACTTCTCTTCTTATTCTTCCCAACTTCATCTCCTCCTCTTCAAAAATCCCCAAATCACGAACTCAATCGAACAAAAATCCCTAATTAAAAAAATCCTCTCTATCACCGAATTCTGTTGCTAGCTTCAAGATCTTGCAATGGAGGCAGGTTTGGATGTCGAAGATGAAGAGGAGAAGATTGGGTTGTTGACATGCAGATTTCCAGCAACAATCCTACACCGCCATTCCAATCCAGAAATCCATCTATTCATACAATTCATACAGTTCTCTACATCAACCAGAGCAGCACCATTATCAGAACAGAGGCATCCTATCCTATCTCACTTCCACCAAAATCTACCGCGAGCACCAGCCCAGATTCGTTCAACTTTTCCAATTCAGTTGTAGATCTTCATTTTCTTCACGCGAGCCCATCACCACAAAACCCAATTTCCTCGTCGGAGCGCCCCCCTCTTCCCTTCTTCTTGTTTGATGGGTTGCATTTCAGCAGCAAGCCAAAGAACTTCAGACTGCTATCACCGATGTGTTCATTGGAGAAGCATCCTTATTCTTGTGTTCCTCTACCTTCCCGACCTTTGTTGGATCTATGACTGTAATAGTTGGAGATGCGGGAGTTGAAGGGGTTCGATGAGGAATCGGAATCGGGGCTCAGAGAGCGGATTTGGGATCCGTCGACGATCACAAAATCTCGTCATTTTCATCGTTTCCGAAAGGCGAAGAGGTGGGTGGTTGGAAAAGGATGAGGATAAGATCGAGAAGGAATGGTCAAATGAGGGCTTTTAATTTTTGGTCCATTATTTTTTTGAATCAATAACTATCCACATAGAAAATTATAGACGGAATTGGAAATAAGAGCGCGCCACGTCAGCTGATCTGTTTGTGCAGTCAAACTTAACGATAACGGTGTTAAAGTATTGGACGAAAATGGTTATAAGTGGTATTTCGATAAAAGTGGCTATAAGTGGCACAGAGGTGAAAGTTTTGGTGACTCTTCGTGAAGCTTTTCTGTGGTGTCAGTCGCTCGGTTTTGCGGATGTAGCCTTTGAAGGGGATGCAAAAGTTATCATCGATAAAATTAATCAGGCGGATGCTAGAGATAGTCGGGTTGGAGTTGTGTTGGAGGAACTCATTCGTTTTTGGCGGTAACCCTGGTTTTAGTGTTAGATTTGTAGGTCGACGTAACAATAGGGTAGCCCATTTGGTGGCTGGAAAGGCCCTCTCTTTGTACCCGGCTATGAGTCGTTCTTTTGATTTCCGGACCTAGCTGTATTCCAGGATGTAACTGTCTTTTTTTATCAATACATGATTATCTTTTGTAAAAAAAAAAAAAATTTGGATTTTGCCATAAAAGAACTACGTCTACAAGGCATAGAAATATCAAATACTTTGACCATCGCGGTGGCGCGGACCTACTCCATTACGGAATGCTGATTTTTGGGGGACTCATAAAACCTATAAAAAAACTGCATGTTTACAGGTAGGCAGGTACTTGCTACTGGTTTATGCTCAATTCTTACGATTCCCAGAAGAAACAAAATCGGACAACTGCCCGCACGCATTCATTCACTTAAAAAAAATCGTAGAACCACAAGAGCCTTTTGCGTAATCGGGCATGCAGGTGCAGCCTCCAGTCTTCCAGCCTGCCTTCTTCCAATTGCCAAGTTGATTGATAGATGCAGGCGGCAGCAGCAGCCTCTTCCCTTGTCGGTTGCCGGTGACCCAACTTTCTTCGCCTAGTCTCTTTTGGAACAGAATTTTCCACCATAATTAATCCCTCAGTTGAAACTTCTTCCTCCCTTCCTTGCCCACTTGCTAATCTTTTAGCAATGACGATCTCCAGTCAAATCTCATCCATATACTTTTCCCCATCATTTCTTCATTACTCTGTTTCCCCACCTCCCCAAACCCATTCCCGCCCGCCGCCGGCGACCAATGGAAGCCGGTGGGAAATCAGATGACAAAGCGATTCGAACCCATGATGTGGTTCTCCAAATCAGAAGCCCAGACTCTCGCCAGCAGCAGCAACTGTTCTTCCCCAGTCCGGAAAACAGAGATCCTCTCCCTCCAACCAGCCCGCCGCAAGTAGCTTCGTTTCCTCCCACTCCCAGGAACAGCAACAAACCCAATGCCGAGATGAATACACCGGAGTCGGAGGCTTCCACTCCAAGACTCAGAGTCCCCCACGCCTCCACTTTCCCCAATTCTCCGGGGACGCCACCATGGACGACGGCGATTCCCTCCCCTGTTTCGAACCCAGCTCCAGCCAGTTCAATCACAAGACGGAAGTCCCGGACAGGGCAATCGGAGTTCAGCAGGCCGAAATCAAGGCTCGTCGAGCCTCCGCCGCCGCTCGCGAGCGACGCGATTCTCAAGGAAGCCAAGACGGGGGAGGCCGCGGCGAGCTCCGGTGGCTCGCCTTACAACAAGAAGTCCCCCCACCGCTCCAATTACAATAACAGCAGCGCGATTTCTAGTGGGAATGGGAGTTTGTCAAGAGGTACGGCGAAGCCGGCGACTCCGATTACTCCCAGAACGCCGTTGATTGGATCTCCAGAGCGAGATGAAGAGGATGACGGCAATGGGGTTTGCAAGACCGCGAACGTCGTCCAGGTGAAGAGCAGCAAGATGGGTAACAAGTGGAAGGTAATGGCGTTGCTTGAGACCACGGCGTTTTTTGCGATAGTGGGGCTGTTGATTGCTAGCTTGACAATTCACAGGCTGCAGAATTCCTACATCTGGGGTTTGCAACTCTGGAAATGGTTCGTTCTTGTTTTGGTAATTCTCTGCGGTAGATTGGTTACGGAATGTTCGGTGAATGTGTTGGTGTTCTTGGTGGAAAGGAATTTCTTGCTCAAGAAGAAGGTTCTCTACTTTGTGTATGGTTTGAAGAACAGTTTCCAGGTGTTGGTTTGGCTAGGGTTAGTACTTTTAGCTTGGGAGCTCTTGTTCACTCATGGTGTTGAGAGATCTCCAAGGACTGCAAGGGCTCTCAGTCGAATGACTAGAGCCATTGCCGGGTTTCTAGCCGCGGCTGGGATTTGGCTGCTCAAGACTCTGTTGATCAAGTTGGTGGCTTCCTCGTACCATGTCAATAGATTCTTCGACAGAATCCAGGAATCCATCTTCCATCAGTATGTTCTGAGGGCTCTCTCGGGTCCTCCGGTGATGGAAATGGCTGAGGCGATTGGGAGCGGAGTTGGGACGCCAGGGCGGCTGAGCTTCAGGAGCATAGACAAGGAGAAGGAAGAGAAGAAAGAGGAAGTGATTGATGTGGATAAGCTGAAGAAACTGAAGCATGAGAAGGTCTCTGCTTGGACCATGAAAGGGTTGATTGATGTGGTTCTTGGCACCGGGTTGTCAACTCTTTCAAGCATACTTGAAGACACTGAAGAAACTGAGGAGGAGTATCAGCAGAAAGACTATGAGATTACCAGTGAGTGGGAAGCCAAACTCGCGGCGCATAAGGTCTTCAGGAATGTAGCCAAAACTGGCAGCAAGTAAGATTCATGAATCCAAAATAACTCTGCCTTCTCGTTCTTCTGGGAGTTGGACTGGAAAGACATTGTTTTAGCTTTCAAGTCAATGTTGAGACAAACATAATTATGTTGTTTTCCTTGATGTAATTCAGGTACATTGAAGAAGAAGACCTGCTCCGGTTCTTGAAAAAGGAAGAGGTGGACAATTTCATTCTCCTGTTCGAAGGAGGTTCAGCAACTGGGAAGATCAAGAGATCTGTTTTCTGGAAATGGCTGGTTAGTTAGTTAGTTAGTCAGCCTTTATGGTTCACTTGCTGAACTATAACTTTCAGTGGGATCTCACTCAGATTTTCCTTCGCATTGTTGATTGTGGTAAATTTTGCAGGTCAAGGTGTACAAGGAGCGAAAATCGTTGGCACATTCGTTACACGATACCAAAACTGCAATCGAGGAGCTGAACAAGCTGGTTTCAACTATTCTGGTTCTCTTGATGATTGTTGCGTGGCTACTAGTAATGGGATTCCTTTCAACTCAAGCTCTGCTCTTCATTTCCTCGCAAATCTTGCTAGTTGCATTCATGTTTGGGAACACCGCCAAGACAGTGTTCGAAGCCATCGTGTTCGTGTTTGTGATGCACCCCTTCGACGTGGGGGATCGTTGTGTCGTCGATGGAGTCCAGGCAAGAGCACTACAGAATACAAAAACACACCTTAACCCCCTCCACGAAAATATAGTGCTGTTTTGCTATACCCTCTAAGCAATATAACTCTCATTTCCCTTCCCATTGTCCTGCAGATGGTCGTCGAAGAGATGAACCTACTGACGACGGTGTTCCTGAGGTACGACAACGAGAAGATATTCTACCCCAACTCTGTCCTAGCAGGCAAACCCATCAGCAACTTCTGCAGGAGCCCCGAGATGAGCGATGGGGTCGAGTTCGCTGTGGACGTTTCGACTTCGATGGACGAGATAGGGGCCGTGAAAGTGAGGATCAAGGGTTACTTGGAGGGCAAGCCACAGCACTGGCGACCGGCACACAGCGTGCTGGTGTTGGGGATTGAAAACATGAACAAGATGCGTATGGGTTTGTACGTGAATCACACCATGAACTTCCAGAGCGGGGAGAGAGGGGGCAGGATTTCCGATCTGATGGTGGAGATGAAGAAGATTTTCGAGGAGGTCGGGATCAAATACCATCTGCCGCCGCAGGAAGTTCATGTCAGGTACGTCGGAGGATTAACAGCTAACGCTGCTGGTGCAGGGCCTTTGCCGCCGCCTCCAAGATGACTGAGGAGGAGTGGAGGACCTCCCTCTGCAGCTCTCTCCTTGGTCTGTTCATATGGATTTCTTGCTTCCTTTTTTTCTTCCTTCTGTATCATAGTCACAGGTTCCAAAGATTTTGGCTTTTTAGTTTTTGATTATACATCAGGCAAGTGGTACATGTATTTTTCTTCTTACAAAGAATTGCTTACAATGTATAGTTCTCGCAAAGGGTTTTTCATTTATAATACAAACATGTTTAAATATATCAATGTTAATTATCTGTCCTAATATCAAAACACAAAACTCTAAACTCTAATCGTCGATCCCAGCAATCCCTGGTTACAATTTCGTTCTTCCTCCACCTAGTAGTAGCAGAGGCGTTGCGAATTGCACGCTGAGCTCGCCAAACCTCCAAGCTCTCCATCTCCGGCTCCAAGCTCGCCGAACCTCCACCCCCCACCCTTATTTTCGGCTCCTACACAACAAATCCAAACTATCTCCAGCCTCCAGGCTTTCGTTCTCCGTCCTTCACCTCCAAAACCCCTACTCTTTTCAATCACGAGCAGGGCTGGGTAGCAACAAGCCAGCAGCACAAAAATTACTTTGTTTGACATCATCAATCTTTAACAACAAGGTAAAATCTAAGTTTTAATTTCAATTACTTGAAAGATTTGTTATTTGTGTTAATTTAGGGTTAGGTTTGTGTGTTTGTTATACTCAATTTTATCTTCAAATTAAGTACATGGACTGAATTAATCATATAATGAAGTTGGTTTTCATATTTTCGTTTAGAGTTGTATTTTCTATTATATAGTTGGCTTTTTCAAGACATGAATAAGCACCCCCTGGCCAATATTAATATTTGTACAAGATTCCGATAGTAAATTAAAATCATGTTTATAACTCAATTGAGTTTTGGGTATCCACAAGCAATACTTATCTTTTCAATTATTATGTTACACAAGTATAATAAAAAAATATATAAATAACAAATCACAATAGTTCTTGAGATGCCACGTTGCAACTAGGAATACCAAATATATTGAACTAAAAAGTAATATTTTATTCAAAATATTGTATATACATGTATAATCAAGCAAGTTCGAGTTGGATAGTGAGAGAACCATATCCGTATGTTATATCCAGGCCATGATATTCAACTTCACATTTTACTCGTACTACAGACAATTTTATTTAGTTCAAATTTTACACGACCTAATCTAGTCGAATTCGAGCGGATATCAAAGATACTAGCTTATTACCCGGCCCGTTGGCCGGATTACTGTATGTTACCCACTTATGGAATGGGAGAGAAAGCAAGTGAGAGTGAAGAGATTGGGATTCCACTTGATTAGGACCGACCCACTAATCCAATTCTTCCCGACCCGCCCCAACCTACAGGGTCAGAAAGAGTCAATAAGAAAATACGAACGGGGAGGATTAGTCATATATCTTGACTCTTCAGAAGTGGGTCAAACAGGATCAAGGGCGGGTGAGGGTAATTTTTAGCGCTAAGCAGAGTTCTGGGTTGAATACCTTTACTTAGGCCTAGAAATTGGTGCTGATGCAGACTGCAGTTTTTATTATACCATCATCAATCATCATTGAATTAGTCCTGGGCATCCCTCCCCGTTGTCGATCTGAATTCTAATGATGGCTTCATTCCTTGCACCAGCCATATCAGCGAGTTGCCATCTCGAGCATGATTTGCCTATGTACAAATAATACAATTAGAGTATGAAAATGAATTCAATGAAAAGGAAAAGAGAATTCTATCACATGCCAATAAATACACACATAATAGTTGAAGCTAAGTGAAATTCATTACTCGCACATCAATTCTCAAAAATTACAGACTAAACATTGGCTAGAATGGCACTGAAACTACCAAGAATCATGGACGAAACAACTTGTCAAATTAAATAATCCTTATACTGAAACTACCTTCTAACTTGAAATAAGACATGATCACAGTTCATAGCTCTCTTCTCACTATGAATTGGTTGCAGCTAGAGGTGGCAATTGGATCGGATTCGTGGATCCGTGGATCGGATTCGTGGATCCATGGATCAAATGGATTGGATCCAATGGATTGGTGGATTCATGGATTGGATCCAATGGATTGGTGGATTGATCCATGAATCCAAATAACATCCAAGGCTTGGACCAAAATGTAAATTTTGAAAAGTTTAGGTACTAAAATGTCATAATGAAAATTTTTAGGTACCAAAATGTAATTTTCCAATGATATTTTTCGTATAAAAATATAAATTTTAGGTACCAAAATGTAAAATATAAAAAATATAGGTACCAAATCATAATTTTCCATTTGGATCCGTGGATTGATCTTTGAATCCACCAATCCAATTGGATTTGGATCAAATGGATTGGATTTAAATGGATTGGATTAGGTGGATAATTTGGTGGATGGATTGGATTGGATTCATGGATTTGGATCCTAATTGCCACCTCTAGTTGCAGCTCGTCCTTATCACAGCCTCTCAAGCTCAATTCAAACAGAATAGAGACCGTTATGTAAGATAACCATATTCTTACTGATCATAATTCCTTTCTTCACTCCATTTTTGTCGGAGAAAAGAGTTATCCCCCTCTCTTGCATTTCCCTTTCCCCCTCTCTTCTCCCTCTTCTTCACAAACCGATCCCTAAACCAGCAACAACAACACAAAAATAGCCTTCGCCTCTCCCGTCTCCATCTATTGAACGCGTTGGTGGCAAGACAGGACTGCAAAAGCAAAATTTTCTAAAATCAAACTAAATTTTTTGAAGCGGACTCAACCACGAAAAAAGAGTAAAGCAACAATGTAGTAGAACCCTAAATTTAACTACAATATTCAAGCACATATCAGCAAGATTTTCGATTTGTCTGAGAGTTAACTACACGGAGAGAACAATTGATGCATAATTGAAATGCTCCAAGCAAGTTGAAGGCAAACCATAACTTTAGAATTTGGTCATTATAATAACCTTCAAGTATTGATGCTTCTAAGAACTATCATGTCCAACCCCCACTTATACAACTACGTAGCCATAGTAATTAGTTGTATAATGAGAAATATTACGAAGAAAACTACATAAACAACCAATGTAAGTAAATATTAAAACTAACAACTGATAAAACTTAAAATCTCTCTATTGGTATAAATGTATCTATTAGTAACTACTATGCAATCGAGTATATATGATTTTTAGGCACTGAATAAGAAAAGTATAGATGGCTCACAAATGAAGACGTAGCAACTGAAGGTAGCACACAAAAACCAAAAATAGAAAAAGAGATAAGAAAAAAGGCGAGAAAAAATCAAACAAAAAAAAAGCCCACATAGGAATACCTCGCTAGCTTGAGGGACTCTCTGCCACAACAAACAACCTTCTTAAAAATCTAACACCCTGAGACATCAAACAAACCTCCCACGACACTAATGTATGGCATTCCTATTGTCCAATAGGTTTGCCCAATTTAGACTTCTAAATAAATGGACTTTTCACCATTAAACCAAAACTCACAATCATTAACAGTTAATGCAAAGACATACATTTCTGAGGCCAATCACAGCATTTAAGCATAATTTTTAGTTGAAAAGAACAATTAAGTATTTAGCTAAATGATATAGTAGAATGGACACAATCTGCTACCTACTAATGATATAAACGTGTACCGGTACCATCGTTGTATCCTGACTTGCCATTTGCAACGGGCACTTTGAAAGACAGCTGCATTTTAGAGAATAAACACCCATAAGGGCGTTACGAAACCAAGCTTAATCCAAAATCTTCATATTCCACTTCGAAGACTCCATTTTCAAAAATAAGAGAGTTTAACATGTCAAATCACTCATTTGAAAAATCTCAAACAACTATTAATCAATGCAATATAATGGCACGTTCCAAATTATGTACTTGTAGGAATAATCCCAAATAATTATCAATTAATGCCCCGACTACCTAATGTGCATAATAGCCCTGGAGCTGTGCTGTTGTTTGCGTTGGTCTACCTTCAAACATAACATAGTTGCATCACGAACCAAAGCAATTAAGCAAAAATCTTCATATTCCAAGTAGAATGACTCAATTCAATTTGGCCAACGCTTTATACATATTGTTTACCCCTGGACGTGTTGCACTTGCGCCTTCAGATCTTCGTGCACACAATACAATTGCGGAGAGGAGGCTGTCAACGGAATAAAAATTGTTAATTAAGTGAATCACTATACAACTAAACAAACGCGCTCTTCTTGATTAGCTATCAAAATAGTGGGGGTCGCTACAATCCATCGGTTGCGCCCTCTGCGCCTAAGTTGTAGATATTAGGTTTCAGTGAGAACTTTGAGTACATGAGGAGATATTTTGTAGTGGAGGAGATGACCCGGCGAGTAGAATACGAAGATTTGGAGAGGCTGCGATGGGCAAAGCAGTTAAAATCGAGATTTTACCTAAAATCGAAAACTGGGGTAAAATCAAAATCGTATAATCGAATCGTAAAATCGTAGGATTTTAAGTAACATATAGAACATAGCATATAAGAATATTAATAAGGTAAATTATTAATATCACAAAGACACATAGCATTTAAAATGATAATTCAGAAGATTTTTTTTCCATAAGATAATTCTCAAGATTAATGTTCCAAAATCACTATTTTAATTGTTATTTAATGTGTAACTCAAAATAATTCATGATGAAGGGATATAATTCATGGGTTTGGCTCTTATTTTCATGTTATGTCTAGGTTGTTTAACTCAAAGTAATATTTCGACATCGTCTACTAAGTATGATTTAAAACTAAAAATAATTGAACTCCAATAAAATAAGTAATGTTAGTGGCTTGGTACAAATATATTCATTAATAAATTAATTAGTTAATAATGATGTTAGTTCTTACATACTTCCAATATTAGGACAGGTGTTTTACCAATAAGTTAAATGGGGTGAAGGGAAAGAGATTAACCGAACCCTAATTTGGTTATTTTTATTATTTTTGAATATTTTTCTAATAGAAAAATATCTGAGAAGATTCCATTGCCCTTTCCGCTGAAACAGTTATACTTATTTTAAATTGGCTCAAACCACCTATTTTGTTCTCTTACGATCAAAATCCAGATTTCGGTACTATTTTACGATTTTAACGATTTTAGTCCCGATTTTAAACGATTTTAAGGTCCACCGATTTTATAGTAAAATCAAGATCGGAATCCCTAAGTAAAATCCTAAAATCCTACGATTTTACGATCAAAATCCCGAATTTGACTGCATTGGCGATGGGTGCACAATTAGTGGGCCAAATAACAGTTTGGGCCCGTTTAAATGAAAAGATATTTTTACTTTCGTGCTCAACAGACCGACCGCACTGGCATCTTCTAAATTTACCCCTAAAAAATTGCTCTGTACGCATCAAATTTGAAATGGAATCCCTCTTTTCTCTTTTCTCTTTTCTCATTTCACATTTCACATTTATATGATGTGTAGATTGTGATGAGTGTAGATGTAGACCTGTCATTGTCCTACAAATTCATTAACACGCCAAAAAGTGGTGAAATGAGCCACCCTACTAAACACAATCTTGTATAATGATCATTGGATCCAATCATGCCAAATTATGAAGAAGTTTAAAATGTCGCGGTTATCCCGACTAAAACATTAAAAGAACCAGTCTCATATAGTTTGCACAAAGATATAATTTCTCCATAGTAATTCTGAAAAATAATATTAATTTAAGATGTCGATATTGCTTCTACATGTTTAATATTGCAATTCGATATGCAATATTCGAACCAGTGATATTTGGGCTGCAATTTTAGGGTTATTGTATATTTATAAAATAGATAGAAATTTAAATTAAGTATTAAACTACAACTAAAATAATCAAAGTATTAAAACACTAAATAAGTACTTACGGGAGATTCAGTGGCCAACTAATCGTTAAAAAAGTCATATGATTTTCATAATTTAGGTTTGTGTATGTTTGAATTTAAATAGATACAATAAATATACTTAGTGTGATTGGTTATGATCCTTGCTTGCCTTTAAATAGACCAAGGTTCAAATCCCAGTGCATGCCTTTTTTATGAATAAATAAATAAGAAAATAAGCAATTGTGAAGACCAAAATGTCCTTCCTATAATCACTCTCGCTGCAGGAAATTTGAAATGGAGCAACAGTTTTCATCATTCGGCTTTTATTTACTAGCTTGGACCCGGCCAGCAGGGGCGGACCCACCTTGTAGCAAGGTGTGTCACCCGACACACCTTGCTCCGAAAATTTTGCGAGGAACTCACATTTTTTCGGTGTAAAAAATTCGTACATAGGACCTCCGACACACCTCCAATAATTATAATCGACACACCTTAACCTTATTACATTACAAAAATTTATTGTGATAATAGTATTAAAATATGTAAATATAGGAGTTATCGGATTTCATATTAGGTAGTTAATTAGTTGGTTGTACAAGAGTAAACAATTAATTGACTACTTACTACTTAGTGAGTATTCAGAAAGATAGCTATCACCTTACAGATAACCTCAATAAATTGAATGAGAATTAAATTGATTAATAATCTGGTTGAGTCACGTAATTAGATAGTGAATTTCATATAGTTTTCCCCCATAACTTCTTCCATGGATTCTTCTTAAGTTAACATTCTACTTACTTTCCAGTTTAGCTATTTCTTTCTAAGTTGACGCCTGTCGCCACCGTCTGGTTGTCGGCATCGAGCCAACGACATCCTCATTCTCATTCAAACTTACACATTGACGTCTGTGGCCACCCTTCCAGCTTCTCATACCAGCTTTCTCATATTAAATTAGTGTTGACTTTACATATTGCAATTGTAAGCTTCAAAATTACATTTTTCATATATGAGTTTAATCAAGAGAAATCTTTGGTATAAGTTGAGTGATCAATTTATGAATAATTTTTTAGTTGTGTACATAAAAAATATATTTGATTTGCAGCCTAATGAGCAAATGTAGTTAAGAAATTTTTCAGAATATGAAATCTCGTCGTGGTTCACTGGCAAAAACAATGAAATTGATGAACTTTATGAATAAATTTTTTATATTTATTTTCAATTAATTAATTAATTAAATCTTTTTTTTATTGGCCGACACACCTATACCAAAATCCTGGGTCCGCCACTGCCGGCCAGTTGGCCGGAATACATTTAAGATTTATAAGATAAGAATAGTTTTATATCTTTTCTTTAATAAATTTTAGATTTTTGTCAAGGATTCACAATGTAATGTAATAATAGTATTCACAAAAATAATGAGTTTTTCTAAAATTTTCATCATAATGTATGAGATTATTCTCAATCTTGATATTCAACAGGTTGTTACATATTCTCTATACTTGATCTACTCATTTAATGTGTGATTAAATTAAGCATAATTTTATGTTGAAATATTATACACATAATCTAGAAACTATACAACTGGATTTTCTTTGATTTCAAATTAGTCATCATTTTATTATGTAAAAATCATAATTTGACAATATTTAAGTCACATGCATAAGCTTTGTTCATTTATGGCAGTAACACACATAAGTTATATATAGTACTATAAACACTAAAAGATCAACAAACTTTAACCTCTATCATTTAACCTTTAAATCTCAGCGAGAGAGTAATGCACCAATCTCTAAATACATAACATCCAAATATTGGTATTCAATAAGTTGTGCTAAGTTCATGGCTTAATTAAAAAACTAAGAAATTCAAAATTATTAAGAAATTAGTTATTAGCTTACAGTAATTTGTGAAGAGTGTAACAAAAAAGAAATCACTTAAATACAACTCATATTTGGTAACCAAAATACTTGGGCAAATAAAAAGTTAATGTAATTACGGTTGCTTTATCTCCACATAAATAAGTGCAGCAGTAGACAGTAGTGGGAGTTGGGGTAGCTTTGGGCTTTAAAGCTGGCCCAACTACATAGTCGTCTTGCGGGCTAGGACAAGAGTTGGATTAACTAACTTAATCAGTATCATTTGGGCGGGAAAACAGGAAATTAAGAGGCTGTGATGGACTAAAACACCCTTCCGGAAATTAAGGAGAGGCCAGAAAAATTTGAATGCTGAAAATTCTGTAAAACTCCACCATTATATATTCTTTTGATTATCTAGATTATTTTCATCCCTACTTTTATGTTTGTATCTCCTTTTATCTCAACTCCTTTTATCCTACGAATCCGACGGTGACTAGGCCAAGGAACGAAGATAACGTTATCCATCACTCCCCACCGGAGACGTCGCCACGAAGGACACACAATCGAGATCACCTACTCCCCCATTTTTCATATCTCAATTCCTCACCTCTCATTTCCCCGCCTCCTAAACAAATACCCTAAAACCTCCCTCCTTACTCATCGTCTTTGTTTCTCGGCGAGAAGAGTCGCGAATTCCAAAACCTCCAGTCCAGAGAGCGCTAAGAAGAAGACAACTCACAAACCCTCCAGAGAAGAAATGGCCGCTTCCACTTCAGCCGTGTCGATGTCCATGCCCCTGACTTACGCCAGCCAGAACAAGATTCCGGCGCCGCAGGGGGGCTTCCTGTCGTTCAAGCCACTGCCGCCGGCAAGCTCGTCGTCGTCATCATCCAACGCCGGGAGGGCCAGATCCCAAGTCGTCAGGGCTTCCTTCAGGGAGAAGGCCGTCACCGGATTGACCGCCGCCGCGCTCACGGCTTCCATGGTCATCCCCGAGGTGGCGGAAGCCGCCGAGGTCAGCCCCTCGCTCAAGAACTTCTTGCTCAGCATCATCGCCGGCGGCGTCGTGCTCACCGCCATCATCGGCGCCATAGTTGGTGTCTCCAACTTCGACCCTGTCAAACGGACCTAAGGCACAAGAAGTGGGGTCGCAGTTTGTTTGTAATACTTTCGAAGAAGAAATGCTGAAGGGATGGATTCCTAATTTCTCTACCTCTTATGTTCTTTCTTCCTTCTACTGTTAATTGCTCTCATTGTAATCTGTTCAGCTCTCCTTCCTCGGTGAAAAAAATCTTTCAACACTCTGAATCTCGCTGATTGACTTGAAATCAAACTGATGTTACGGTATAGCACCGCCATCTTCATCTGGACAAAGATCCACAGCGGAAAAAACCTTCCCATGGCAGGGTTTCATTAGTATGGTTTGGCCGGCGAAGATGGCCGATGTCATCGGAGAGGTGAAATAGGCATCCTAGCACGTTTACTAACATTCCTGCAGGCTGCAGCGTCGCCTTTCCAGGAACAGAGGAACTTCACAAGCATATAACAGAACAGCAAGAACTGTAAACAGGTAGTAACTTAGCAAAGCTTAAAACACATGTCACGGAGTTTACTTGAGATACCATATATCCGGTTGCTATCAAAACAAAATTTGTCACAAGAAATGTCAAAACAAGTACTAAGTAGACAACAGACCTAAAAACAACTCCTCGACATGGAAACTTTTTAATTGTTGTCTAGGCAGCATTGAGCTGAAGACTCAAAAAGGCATGATACGAGCATCTTCAGGCAACTGCAACGGCAACAGGAGGAGGAATCTCGGCCTCAACTGCTGGAGCAGGCATAGAAGCAGCCCTCATATACTCTTCCTCGTCCTTAGGTGGGTGAATGGTAACAAGATCAGGGAGAGGAGTTGTCGGGCCAAGTTTCCCCTTGGGATCCCAATCGAGCATGATCTTGACCTTGATACCAAGAACACCCTGTGCATAATAGCAGTACGGGATGTTACAAGACGTGGGAGAACATCAGATTCAAAGCAGACTTGAAGGTTAAGAGTGAATCGAGACGAACCTGTCTCAAGAGGACGTGTCTAACAGCAGAGTCAATGTATTCGTTGACTGGGTGCCCAGAAGAGATCATGTAACCATCCATGAACTTCATGGATTTAGCACGCTGTGCCCTTAGCTTTCCACTAACAATCACCTGTTACACCATCAGTATTATTAGTAACATGAACAAACAGCCCACAGCCAATGTGTATCCACGATGCTCACAAGACGGGAAAGATCAGAGACGGACCTCGCATCCCTTGGCGCCACTTTCCATGACAAACCTCAACACACCATAACACGCCCTGATGCAACACAAACAACTAATGTTAGTGAAAACTAAACATATTTAAATCAAAAGAGAATGTATCCTCTATCTTATACTACAGGAAAGCAACAGCATTTCATGTTGATTACAAAACAGAGGAATCCAATTCATCTAGTCATCTTCAGACACAAGTTTGCCAGAAAAGGGGAAATATGCTGTGTTAATGACAGCTTACTGCAACCTAACCTTAAGAAGTATGTTGTATAACTGAATTTGGTATCTAATACAACGCTGTACCAGCAGAAAAAATAAACCTAAGGAGTATAACTGATAAGTTGAATATGCAATATTTCCTCTAGAACTAGCTGCATGAGCTTGGAAGCTCTTCATGAAGACAATGTGTACCAGAGGAACATTAATCCCTATAGTCATCTTCCGACACAAAATTTGTCAAGAGTTAGGCAAATCTGCTTTATAGATGACTAAACCAGCTGTAATAATGAACCTAGGGAGTATGGCTGACAATTAAGTCATAAATTGAATGCTATTTTTCCTCTAGAACTAGCTGCATCAGCTTTAAAGCTCTTCATGAAGACAATATGTACCAGAGGAATATTAATTGCATTTAGTCATCTTCCGACACAAAATTTGTCAAGGGTTAGGCAAATCTGCTTTATAGATGACAATCAAAGCAGACTACAAGAGAAGCAAACTACCATTTCCAGAAGCAAGCGGGATAATCGAAGACATACACACAACCACGTAGAAGTTCTAGACCGATTTCAACATCCATCCATATTCACATACATTCATCCAACTCTCCCTACCGCAGACGAGAATCTCACAAACCAAACAAGCAAATAAATATTGAACGAGATGGAAACGGATATAAACCTTCTAACAGCAAGACCACCAAGGAGCTTGTAGCGAAGAGACTCAGCCTGGGCAATAGCACAAAGCCCTCTGCTGTTCACCTTCTCAGCATACAGCTCAACGCTGTTCTCAGGGAACTTAAATCTCTTCTGAACAACCGACGTCAGCTCTCTAATACGTCTTCCCTTCTCCCCTATATCCAAGAGAGAAAAAACCCAGATCCGAAAACCTCAGATTAAGAGAAAAACATAAACAAAATCCCAAAACTCCCTCAATTGAGTGATTCGCCATTCATACAGATCGAAATAAAAAAATAAAAAACTGAAAATGGAAGCGAGAAACGTACCCAAGACGTTCTGGGTGCGGGTGGCCCTGATAATGATCTCAGTGCGCATAGGTGTAACCCTAACCTCAACGCCGGAGTAGCCATCCTCGGCGAGCTCCCTGGTCAAAACCTCGTTCAGCTCGGCAAAGAACACTCCGTCGGCGACAAACTGCAAAGCACCCAAAAATCAGAACCGGTCTGTACAACCCTAATTGCATGATAGATGGGAAGGAAGAGGACGCGAAGAAAAACCTTTCGCTTCTTGCTCATTTGGGTCGCCATCTTGTTGCCGGAAGCAGGATGAATAGGCCGCGGCGGAGCGTTATCACTTATCAGATATGTAAGCCGCAGAGGCGATGGATTCCGTTTGTGCAAAGTGCAGGCAGCCAAAACCCTAGTGCCGAAGGGGAGGATTATATTCGCGCAGAGGGTGGCAATCGACGGTTGTCAATTAATCGTAGTTTAGGGTTTTGCTGGGCCTGATGATGGGTTTTCAGCCCTGGATAGTGATGTTGGACCCTTGAGCCCTTAGCATTGGGCTTAACGAAAATTATCCGTGGAAATATGTATGTTCTTGTTTTTGTAGGGGCAATTAACTTATATCTTACTAATTATTGCCTACTACTTGCTGTTTCATTTGTGATTGTATGATTTTTTTTTTAATAATGGTGATATAGGTTTACTTTTTTATGATTAAAATACTACTTAAAAGATTTGAACTTAAAACCTCTAGTTTTTAGGATAGTGGGCTAGTGGCATTGCCATTAAACCAAACTCTTGTTCATTGTGGGTATTTTAATGACATTCTGCAATCTTATGAAAAAGATGGGGCCGATAATTTGATGTTCACGGAACACAATCTTTTCGTATGTTTGTTGATGTTTTAGACTTGCTAGATATTGGTTTCTCGGGTCCTAGATTCACCTGGTTGAATAGACATGGTTTGTTTGCCACTTTCATTTAAAGTAGACTAGATATATTTTTCATTTTTCAGCACATTGGCTAGATTTTTGGCCCAACGAGTAATGCTCACCATCTCACTAACCAATAAATTTTTATTTGCTCTATGTTCATTGGTCTACTAAAAGGATCCCTAGTAAGAAAGTTTTCATGTTTGATGCTAGATGGAGTAAGAACCAAGAAGTGGACAATATTATAACTAAGACATGGCAAGAACCAACTCATGGCTCTCCAAGTTTTCGACTTTGGACTTGGATGAAACAAGCTCGGCATAGGTTGTTCACTTCGGTGAAATCCGGTTCAATGAACTTGGCTTTATCAATTGTAATATGTATTTTTCTCAAATATAGTGAAACTTCTCTCTCTTGTCCGCAAACGTAGCTTAGCTAACACACATCGTGGTAGTGAACTTTGTAAATTTGTGTGTTCTTTACTTTTTTGCATTGTCAATTTCCCAATCGGTTATAATAAGTAAATCAGCAACTTCAAGTGCATCGAGTACGCCTGTAACCATTTAATTACGATTTGGTCTTCATTTCAATTAAGTTGACAAATAGATGCTAATCTTCGTACTTTCTTTTATACCTAGATAATCATGCCTTCCAAGCTCTAATGATGGATAGTTGTTTTCCGGCGAGGAAAATCTGGTGTTTGATTTCAATCAATGCACCTTGACTTCTCGAACAACGATTAATAACACGGTTCACACCTCTCCGAACAATGTTCGAACGAGGGTGTTTGATTGATGGTTTCTGGGAACGAGATCTAAATTAAATTACTTCTACTCCTATGGAGGTTCAGTGAGAGCTCCGAAAACTAAGGGTTATGGATAATTTGCAGAGAAAGGATAAAAGTTTGACATAGTGTGTCAAATGGTTGGTTGTGGAGCCCTTGCTTCGTCTTCGTTTCTCCTATTTATAGCCATCCCTTGTAACCGTCGTGCAACCGCCTCTTGGTAACTGCTGCTCCACTTCTTGATGTTTGATGTAGCTTGCTTGACGCCTTGACTGTCTTGCGTGCTTGCCACTTGATAGCTAACCCCTTGTGCCATAGAGGTGTCTTGTTTGGTGAGTGACTGCTTCACGCTTGGTGGTACTCTGCTAATCACCTTGATATGACGTCATGCTCGACACCAAGGTGCTTGGGGGGTTGATGAATGCCCACTGACCCCCTTGAGGTGGCATCATGCATGACCCCCCTTGTGCTGTGGGTCTTAACACTTAGCCAAATTTTGGCTTTCTTCACCACAATGGTCTAGGGACTCGCGTTGCCCTTCTTCCTTTGCTAACATGCTTGATACCCGGCTAGACCCCCTTGGGGTGTGTCATGCTTGACCCCCTGATGTTATGGGTCTCAACCCTCTTGGGGTGTGACCCCCCTGGACGGTGTCATGCATGACCCCTTGCATGATGTCATGCTTGACCCCCCCGGTGATTGGAATTCCATACTTAGCCAAATTTTGGCTTTCTTCACCACAATGGTCTAGGGACTCAGTGTTGCCCTTCTTCCTTTGCCAACATGCTTGATACCCGGCTAGACCTCCTTGGGGTGTGTCATGCTTGACCCCCCTGATGCTATGGGTCTCAACCCCCTTAGGGTGTGTCATGCTTGACCCCCCTTGTACACTATGACATGGATGATGTCGTGCTTGAACCCCTTGGACGGTGTCATGCATGACCCCCCTTGCATGATGTCATGCTTGACCCCCCTTGTACGAGACCCCTCTTGTACGAGACCCCCCTTGGACGATGTCATGCATGACCCCCCTGGGATGATGTCATGCATGACCCCCCTTGTGCTTGACCCCCTTTGACGGTGTCATGCATGACCCCCCTTACATGACGGGTGGGTGTTTGGTGGGTCAAGTAGTGTGTGTTGAGGTACCTGGTATGAAGCCCAAAATACCATCATTTAGACCCAGTTTAAACCAATTTAATTAATATGGTTAAGTTGGCCTTATAAATCACTACCACTCCTTGAAAATAATCAAGGTGGTATTGAGTGATTTTTTAGTGGTAAACAAATGCCCCCCAACTACTTAGTGCATAAGGATTATGGACTAAGTAGTTAACATCAACTACACCACTAAAAAAAATGCTCGTTGGTTTGAATAATAAAAACCAAAACGCACTAAACCACCCCTGCACCATATCCAACCGTAATTATCATTGACCTTGATAATTAAAAGACCAAAATCAATCACTGCCTCCACTATTCTATCCCAACACGCCCTTCGTGTCATGTCATGCCTACCATCAGGATGGTTGGTTAACTTTGAACCCGTTGATACCCCTTGCCCCAAAGAAAAAAGGACATATGGCTTGAGATACTTTCATTGATCAACCGATCATGTAGCACCCGATCCTCTTTCAACAAGTATGCATCCTTAGACAGGTGGCATGGAAGGTACATGATCCATGACAGACAGCTAGTGAGCTACTCATGCCATGAAGTGGCATGATGTACTCAAACGAGCGTAAGGGGCTCCATAGACCCAGCCACTTGACTCGTTGTTTACCAGTCATGGCAAAGTCTTCACATCGCAAGTGTTACAACTCTATTTTTTTTTAGCCATGATTGGCTTTTTCTCTTATTTTACTAGTATTTATTTATTTACTTATTTTAATATAGCGAAGAGTGACATGCATCACTAATATCCAAACCCTTTGGCAACCATCAAGATGCCAAAGGTGTACACCCACTGCCAAGTCCATGAATTAAAACACACCAACCATCCATAAACTGCATGTTTCTCCTCCTTAAGGAGATACGAATCCTTTGGTGTTGATTTTGAATTTTCCAACTTAACAACAGATGGTACTCGCTCAACATGTCCTGCCTTGGTGGGCTTGCAAGGGGTCCCCTGCTCCTCTGGCTTAGCCACCTTACTAGATATGTTGGGTTGTTGATGATAAACCTGATGTGTTTGTCTCGTTTCTGGTGGTACTTTAGGTACTCTCAACTCCTTGGGCTCATGAAAGAGACCACGAGTTTTTATCTTCCTTGGTTTCGCCCAACCATGCTTAATCATCCCATATAGTTGGGACGAGGAGTGTTTGGACTCAACAAGTCGACGACCACCCTGGTGGCCAACCTGATCTTGTTCAACCCTTACGGCTTGCTGACTTCTACACGTAGCACATAAACTCTGGTTCTTTGTAGGACCATTTCTGGTTTTTGTATGCCGGGATGTCTTGTCCATGCCCCTGCCATTCATATTTGGCATGCCATGAGGGTTGTTAAGCATGAACTTGCTTCTTTGTCCATCTATTAAAACACTCTCATACTTAGAAATTTTTTGAGTGTCTTGGGTGTGCTGCACACTTATATAAATTTCTCCCACTTGTTTCTTCATGGTCGGTGACATCAGGGCCGTCCCATGATATCCGGAGGCCCTGTTCGATAATTTAAAATGTGGCCCTAAAATTTTTTCTTGCAAATTTATTAAAAATAAAAATTATTAAATAATAATAAAAATTATATAAGTACAGAAAATGATTACAAAAGTAATAATATTATCTATTATTGTTCAAAAAGTAACAATCGCTCCCACCAAAAAAAATAAAAGTAACAATCGCCTAGTATTAATTGAAATAAAATTATGTATTACCCCTTCCATCTTCTCTATATCTTTTGAAAAACGAAATCAGACCATCTATTTCTAAAATAGCATCATCAATAAACATATCTTTGGATTGTAAATGTTTACTAACCAAATTTGTTGACTGCAATATTTCATACATGATTAAAAATTATAACCAAAGATTTATGATTTCAAATTTTCAATCAATATTAAGTTCCCTGTTAAAGAAAAAAAAGGTTAGAACTTGAAAACAAGTTCATTATGAGCCCGGATAGTAGGGATTGCCATTGATTAGGAGTTAATTAGAATTGGGTGCGAATAATTAATATTTAGGCGTTGGATGATTTTGGGAAGGTGAGAAATTTTGGGGAAAGAGAAGAAGAAAGGCTTAAAATCTTTACCTGTTAATTTAAAATCATCAAACAACTTCTAGCTTAGTGGTTGAGTTTCCTTTTCCATGGAAAGGAGATCCATGGTTCGATTCCTAACCTTGGAGTTTTTGTGTGGCTTCGCCTGTTAAGGGTTGGGCCTTGCCAGCCCAAGAGGTGCGAGATTGTGGGCCTCGTCAGCTGAAGATGTCTGCCGCTTCAGTGTGTGGCTCCGCCTGCTTAAGGGTTGGGCCTTGCCAGCCCAAGAGGTGCGAGGATTTGGGCCTCGTCAGCTGAAGATGTCTGCCGCTTTAGGGCCTATATATTATGAGGCCTCCAAAACTTGAGGCCCTGTGCTGTGGGTCTGACCAGCACAGGGTCTGGGCCGGGCCTGGGTGACATGCCCCCTGTCCAGTGGTTGGAGACATATCTCATATACCATTATTCATGATTGTTGACGTGCCCCCCTTTCCAAACTTAGCCATATTAGTATGCTTACTAAAAGCATGTGTGGCTTCATGTTGTGGCTTATTGGGCACACCTATCAACCTACTAG